TCCCTTTCTTCGTGCCGATCTTGTATACGGAGTATTAGCAATATACAGCAGTAAACAATACTGCTTTATAAATATTTTCGTTTGTGTGTGCAGAGATTCGTCAAAGTTATATAGAAGTGATGGTATTTCTCCCTATGGGTGTCGTCGACCAACTTTTCTTCGTGCTATCTGTACAAATCCAATCATGTGGTGTCCGTAGTGTACACAAGCAGGCACTGAGAAGGGAGGTATGTCGTGTTTTCGGGGCTCCATGGATGATTTTCGCCAAAAATATTGCATATAATGAAATTAAAAAAACTCTGCAGCTATCGACGTATCTCGACGAGGCGGTCACGACTATCGTTGTTTCACGTTCCAATTCTTTCTCGAAAAGAAGTTATCGCACAAAACATAATTGGACAAATTGTTGTGCACGGACCGTACCACCGATACGTCTTGTCTCGCTGCCTCGTGAAGAACGCTGTAGGCTCGCCCGTATCCATTGGCCCCGTTTACAGCCAAAGTCCGCACATTCCAGGTTGCTACCCTAAGAAGTTGACCCTGCTGTCTCTTTCGCGCGGCGCGCGCTGCTCTCTTAGCTAGCATACGCGCCACCCGACCCGTCCTTTTCCTCCATCTTCCTCTCTTTTCTTGTTTTTTTACTATTGTCTTGCGAACACTCGGGCTAATGTTGACAGTTACCCCGGTTCTTGCCTTGTTTCCCATAGAGTCTATGGTCTATGACGTATATTGGACGGTAACTGAGATTCTCCTTCTTCTAATTTCAGCATATAATTGGAGGTAGACTTGTGAGTGTTGTTTTGAGGAAGCTGGCGGGTCTCATTCTACGCAGNCTATCTCGGATAGAAGTCCGTTTGTCAAATGGTGTAGTGTACGCAGAGCAATGTCCAAACTTAGCACCCACATCCGCCACAGGTCAACATCCGACCGCTTGTGCACTCTAAAATGGCCTGTTTTTGGCCTGTTTTGTCATGCGGTGCTGCACACATGGGAACGCTGTTCCCTTGCGGTTGAACAGCTGATCCCCGAAGCACAACCTCCCTAACATGGTGCGCAGCATAACCCCAGTAGAACCACCACCTAGTTGTGCACACCTTG